TTTCTAAGTTAGAAAGTACTATAAAAGAGTAGCTTCCCCATATGGCTGTGGGTGCAGATGCCATGGAAAGGGTCTCGTGTCACGATACAGGCTCATGTCTTATAAACCATGATCGTTTTATACAGGGCCAATTCTTTATTAAACACTCGGGTTCTATTGTTCTTGATTGGATTCTCCAAACCCTAGCTTATCGCATCACCTATGAGGCGTTCTAATAAATATAGTCCTGACTCGGAGGTTACCCTCACACCTCTCCGAGAGATTACTCTCTCAAAACACAAGCTCTCAATGCCTCACAAAACTCGGGGTATATGAATCTGGGCCCCAATGTGCCAAACCCCTAGATTCGATCTCTTTCTAACTTTCACTTTAAATAATCTTGAATTTAAGGCCTTGAAAGGCCACATAGCCAAAAAAGGCAACGCTAGTGGCCTTGTGGTATAAATATATTGAGAGGGAAAGAATGCCTTGGTAATGATTCGAAAGATAAATTTTGGTATTTTTGTTTCGAATGTCACACTTCTCACTCATCTCGAAGAGCAACATTCGGCGGGGCACACTGTTAGTGTGTTTTTTTGACGCACTAATTCCCTGATGCGAATAATAGTGGAGGCGGTTGCGACTCAGGCCTATAGGTGCCAGTCACGCTTATGGACTATAGAAGCCCCTCCCAAATAAGCCTTATTTTGAAGAGCCATGATAGAGATGTCATCTCGGCCCCAAATCAAGCGTATCAGTCTCCTATGATGATCCAAGGATGCCCTCCAAGTTTCTCCAATTCTGGCCCGAGTGGAAGAAACATGTATAAAATCGGTTTTTGGCCCAGGCCACTAGCATAACTACGGTGCATCATGATTAGAACTCGACTCAAAAGACCTCTAGTGGCCATGGGACCATCGCAATGGATTCAGAAGGTTGAGAACAACCACCTTGCCAAAGTTCAGCTCAATTGGACCTTCCTAGGTTGTACTTTTCATAAATGGCTAGCTTTTTACTATTCACTTGAACGCATATGAACCAATTACTATTTATAGTAACTGTGTTTTCCTAAAACGGAGCAACTTGTGAAGCCTGATTCTCTTTCGTCGTGAAGCGGATCGACGCCAAATTCGAGTATGTTGTTGCTCTCACCAAAATCTACGATTTGGCGGGTGACACGCACCATGGGGACTCTCAGATAGGGAGAAATCTTAGAGAGAAGTTCATTGAAAAACATGAAATTACAGGAAAATTCAGCAACATATGTCGTTGCTTTGGCCGCTGTATCTCAAGATTTGGGACTCCTACGACCTCAAGGGCAGGTCTGCTGTGATCGCGACTCGAAGGGCTTAGTTTTGAGTACTTATTTGCTAGAAATGGAGGCCGGGAAGGCGTCCTATTGATGCTCGAAAAAAGGCATGATTTTTTTGACTCCGGAATTCCATTTTCTGAGGACCATCCAAATTAGGAAAATGATCAATCCACACTCAAATCGGGTGGTTTTCGTTGCAAACAATCACTACGAATTCCCCTTCGATTTGTGATAAAGAAATCGACTATAAACGCGACAAGTTAAGCTACGTTAATGATCTAAGTTTTCAAGAATATGGACATGACCAGATTTTTGGGTTCCTGACTCAAAGTTCGATTCAAGCTTCAAAATGGGTATCAAATTGATTGTCTCGAGACGATTATCATTATATGTTGACAAATCACTCGAGATGTCACCACATCAAAAAATTACCCGAAGCATGGCTATGGCAAGAGGTCCCTTTTGGAAGGATGATTTTGTCATTTTCAAGATTCTAGTTAGGGGTAAAGTGGTCATTATGTCTAAAAACGGGATTGATTATTTTATTCACTTGAATGTTATTTTCAAGCAATTTTGTTGTCTTTTGGCCATCCACCCTAATGGATTTCATATGTAAGTTCTTTGACATCATTTGTAACCTACATAGGAAAAAGTTGGAAAGAAAAGATCGAAATTCTAAGCTTTGCCCCTTTTAGCTTAAGTTTGTGATTCTTTCTTGCTTCAAGAGAGAGGAGAGAGAATATTTTCATACTTTAAGAGTTGCCCTTGGAATTCCCCAGTTCCATACCCAACACTTCCAAACCTCTTACTCCCTGCACCCTACTCCCTAGACTAGCATAACCCATACTCCACCATTCTCCATAGGGCACTATAACTGTATCCCATACTCCTTAGGCTTCCATAACCCATACTCCACCATATTCCCTAGATTACCATAACCCATACACCACATCCTATACCCACACCATACACCATACTCCTCTTTAGGCTATCATAGCCTACACTCATCATACTCTATACGCCTTAACCTTTTATCTGAAGACCCTAGCTCCTGTTCCATTCCAATAGGAGTGAGTTTTTATACCTAAATATGTTTGTCATTCGTTGGGTTCAAGACATCACCTCACCCTTAAGTGCCCGGTCCATCCCTCTCCTCTCTCCCCTTCTCTTCGTCTCTCTCTTCTTTCTCTCTCTCTTTTCTCACTCTCTCTATCTCCTTCTCTTTCTCTCTATCTCCCCCTGGTCAAAAGGGAGGCGGCTGAATTGTCTGCCCCTCTTTCCTCCTTTCTTTATCTTCTTCCCTCCTTTTCTCTCCTTCTCCCCTTGAGTAAGGCAGCTAAGCTGCCCGACTCTCTCTCCTTCTCTCTTACTCTATCTATCTCGCTCTCTCTCCCCTCAGGTGGATATACCGCATGGACCCCTCTCTCTCTCTCTCTCTCCCTCACAACCAGGCGGCTAGTCCACCTGGTCCTCTCTCCCTCTCTCTCTTTCGCTCTATCTCTCCCCCTCTCTCTCACAACCAGGTGGCTAAGTCGCCTGGCCTTCTCTTCCCCTCTTTCCTTCTCTCCCTCTTTCTCTTCATTTCAAGAGTCAGGCGGCTAGGCTGCCCCACCTCTCTCTCACCCCTTCTCTCTCTCACTCTTCTTCTTACCTCTATCTCTCTTACTTCTTTTGCTCTCTTTTTCTTCTTTCTCTATTTAAAATATCTATTTTATTGAGGAGGATTGTGCATTAGGCCGACCTTGGGGCTTTCTAGCGCCAAAGAAGTTTGTGCCTCTCATGGGTCACCCCACCCTCCATTCTGGCTCTCATCTCTTATTCTCTCGTATCTCATTGACCAAAGGCGGGTAGAATCCTCTGGAGGGCTTCTATTGCAACAACTATTTGGGTACTTTGGCTCAAAAGAAATTGTAGGCTCTTCCAAGGCCTCAAAAGCGAAGTTCCAACCCTCTTCCACAAGGTTACTTCCTTAGTAATCTTTTGGGCCTCCAACCATAGGGCCTTTGCCTGGGTTTCGGCAAATACTTTCCTTAGCCAATGGGAAAATATCCTCCACCTCAAACCCCATCGGGTTTCAAGACCCAACAACTGGCTGCCTCCACCGGAAGGCATCATTAAGCTAAATTTTGACGGATGCTCTCTAGGAAACCTAGGCCCAACAGGAGCTAGAGGAGTTTTCTGGGACCACAGTGACAATATTCTTGCCACTTGCTCCGAACACTTAGGACATGCAGACTCTCAGTTTACTGAATCTATGGCACTATTGTTGGGACTAAAGAGATTTGACCACTCTTGGGGATCTCAGTTGTTCGTCGAGGGGGACGCCAAAAATATATTATCCCGGGTTGCTGGAAACGCCCCCCCTCCTTGGTATCTCTCCACAATTTTTGACAAAATTGTGCATATTTGCAAGGATATAGTCGTTTCCTGGATGCATATCTGGAGGGCGTCGAACGACTTCCCATATCTTCTGGCTAGGGACGGTGCTCAGGCCCTAGTAGATGTCCCCGTATAGTCGCGACTTTTTGTGATGCTGCATTGTTCATAGTTTAGTCGCTGATCCATCTCCTTTTTTGCTCTAGACCTCTGTGGGTGCATATTTTGTTGCTTTTTTTGTGTACACTTGTAATCGGGAAAGTCTTATAAGCCCCAATTTTTGGTATAGGGTCACAATGTAGTGACCTATATTTTGGACGAGAGATCCGGCTTGTGGGTACTCTCGAGACATACTTCTGTACACTGCTCCTTTTCTAGTAATACAATTGTTAACCTCATTCAAAAAAAGAAGGACAACTCTTATTGTTATTACGTTACATAAAGTCATAAACTACACTCAAAGAATGCAAAGATTAAAATATTATACAGCGACATGATTTTGTTAAAATATTGATAAAGTTTCAATTTCTTTAAGTTTTTTTGACTTAATTAAAATATAAACTAGATCCAAAAGGATTGCAAAATATTTTATTTTTTTATTGTGTAACTAAAATATAGACTACACTCAAAAGGAGTAGAATATTAAATTAATATTAATTTTTAAATTAATTATTTATGATATTATATGGAGTGCACTTCTAACCTTGGAAACCCTAGTTAGTTATACATAATCTAGGGAATTCTAGTTAGGACCTTAATTTTCAACTTGATGGAACTTAGACCTGCATAATATATCATTCCTTTCCAAAAGTTGGGATCGAGGTCCCCAACATAATAACATCTCGATCCCTAGATTTTGGGGTGTACGGATGGCAATCCCGAACCTTGGGACCTCTAGCCTTTCACAATCCCTTGCTCCCAATCCATTCCCGGAATCAGTCTTGATTCTTATCTTGGTAACTATGGTTTTTTATAAGCACTTACTAAAATGATTATGAATTTACATGGATATGATTATGTCAACCTTTACTTATTCTAGTCTACATTTGTTTAAAATTCTAATTTTTTGAATGTGTTTGTGTTCATGTCAATAACCTACAAAAATACACACCACAGCATTCTAAATAACTCATAAAAAAATTCTAAATTACATGAATGAATAATTACTCAAACTGAGAGCAAAGTGAGCAAATTATTAAAACCCAGCAATCTTTGGCTAAGACCACTATAATCACCCAACAATCTTGCTAATCCCACCATGATCATGACTATCCAAGCTATAATGGAAAATATCAACCCAAACCAAAGGACCAAGAAGCCATAAAATCAACACCATAAACCACAAAAAACAAGAGATCCCTCACTGTCAATACTCAAAACCACTTAAGACCATAAAGATAAAAACCTAAACCACCAAGACCCAATCAATCGTACTCGCAGGTCCAAAAGAATAAAAACATCCATCAGATCAAAACATGAAAACCCACCCTAGATTCGAAAACCCTGAAAACAAAAACCCAATTCTGGCAAAACCAGGGTGAAAGAAGGGTAAAACTCCTTTGATGATAGAGAGAGAAGGGAGGATTCCGTGAGAGGAAAGAGAGAGAAGGGACAGAGGCAGCGAGAGAGAGAGAAAGGCGTGCCTAAGCTTTGCTTTAAGATTCATTGCTTTAAGATTCATTGCTTTAAGACTTAGCTTTTTAGGGAAGAAAAGTTTTATTTTAATGTTATGGTACTCAGTACTTAAGAGCTTATCATATTAGGGAACAAATGGAGCAGTTCGGGATGAAACTTTACTGCAACTTTCGACTCCTGTTATGTTCGTACAGGTAAAAGTGTGTGCGCCACTTTCTTACTTGGCTTCATAATAGAGCTAACTGCACATGCTAATAGTTAGTATTTCTCTGATATTGGAATCATAGATGTCTGGACTTTCATTTTTCTTGGTTAGTGTAGTGGTGTATTTTTGGCTTCTAGTTCTTTCATTTTTTCCTTATTTCTTTATAGTGGGTCAGGAGATCTGTGGGCAGTATAAATTTCTATTCGTGGATCTTGTTCATCTTGTGTGTTTTCTTTTCCCTTAATGCTAGTTGGTCATCATCAATCCTTCACACTAAAGGTGCTAGATCATACTCCATATTATCGGTGTTTTACTTGACTAAGCCATCCATTTATGTCAAATTGAGATAAAAGTCGTGAAAATGAGCTTCATTTTAATTAGACATGTTGCATGGATATATGCCTTTATACGATAGGGCAAGAAAACAAAATTGTATGCCAAATCAAGTGCACAGAGGCAAACATATGAAGGAGTACAAATCTATTCACACTTTACAACTTGGAGCTTTTATGGAAAAAGTGATTTTTTTGCCGAGTAATCATCGTTTGTCAATGACTCGTAAACAGGTATACAATCCACTCCGGTTTGTTGACATTAGGTAAACTAATAATGCATCAAAGAACCTGTCCTTAATAAATGTCAATCTAGCTCGGGGTGTGCTCATATTGTCTTGGGAAACATGATAAAATCAATACAGGTGACACAAATGAATGAAGAGAACATCATAGACTACATAGAACTAGGTGTAGATTGTTTTGTATAAGCGAACATGTAGAATCTGATATGTGTAAAATTTTACCTGAAGATCTAATAAAGACATAACAATATCGTGTCGTTGATGGTATGATAACATTCATCATATATGAGGCTTTGGGAGATTAACCAAACTGCCCGACCACTTAAAGAGATATGTTCAGTTTGGTTATGACTACTGACTAAATATATGCACGTTACTAGTCTCTGACGAATTACGATCTCTGCCTTAGAATGTTGAACTGCCATATCCCACTCTTGGGTTGATGTCTATGTCTTTGATGGTACAATAGCATCCGTCATGTGTGAGGGTTTGAGAGATTGAACAAAATGGACCTTTCAGTTTGGTAGTGTTTTTCCCATTATGGATATGATAAGACATTTATGTTTATCATGTTTGTTTATTTTTCACCCATTTTTAATATATATATATATATATATATACGAACTATTAGGTTAGCTTTCTTCGTTCCATAGAAGATTCAGGTACTGTCCTTCTCTACATGTGAATATTCTCTATCCTCTTCTTGTTCCTTTCATCAATTTGTTGGTTGGGGATTGGTCATGGAGGCTTACATTATACGGTGTTATTAAACCCTAATTCTGATTATTTCCTTTCCTGAATTCTAGCGTTTCTCTCAAACTCGAACCGTAGTTTTGCTATTTCTCTTCTTGATTGTAACTCAATTCTTTTCTACAAACTGCAATTCTATTTCTTTCACTTCCTGTTCTAATTTTTATCTCTTCACAAATCCAAACCCTAATTCTTCTTCTTCTTCTTCTTCTTTTCTCTTGTTTCTAACTCTTCCTCTTCTTCAAACCCGAATCTTCTCTATGTTGTCTTGCTTTCTTTCCACTCTTAAAACTATTATTCCACTTTATTTATTTTATTTTATTTGCTCGAAGTCAGATTTGATTTTCTGTAAATTAGATTTGGTCACTTCATTTAGGTTTTTTTCTCCATTATGTTTCTCTTTCCTGTAAATTTTTTTTTGGGTTCATCATATCTATCTTGGACCCTAGTGCTATCCTAGATATTGGGAAGCACTAGAAACCCTAATTATTCTTCTACTCTATCACTTATGGAAAACCTTAATTCTTACGAATCTGAAATTTCACTTCTTCTAAAACTCTGAATTTAAAGCCCAAATTTTTTTTTTGGTCAAATGAGCCGAAGATTCTTCTCCTTTTGCCTCAAAGATGGCTTCAACATGTACAAATTCTCCTTTGACTCATAACATGCACCCACATATGGTCTCTATCAAATTGGACTGTACCAACTTCATAATTGATGGAATATCTTAATTGAATCTTATCTTCCCCTCCAAAGCTCATCGATAAAGAAATTGTCCTCAAAGAGGGCATAAAGGAGATGAAACTAGTATCTAACCCTGAATATGAGAGGTGGTTTGCGAAACTAGTATCTAACCCTGAATATGAGAGCTGGTTTGCCATAGACCAGACATTAATTGGCTGGATAAATTCCAATCTCTCCCATGACATTCTCTTTCCAGTGTTAGGTTGTTCGTTCAGCCAAAGAATTGTGGGATCTCCTTCGTTTGCTTCACTTTCATTCATCTAAGGCAAGTCATACTTATTTGCCTGTCAATTCCAGCAGTTTAGGAGAGAAAACTCCTCCATCAACGAGTACTTTAATAAATTGAAAGTTTTTTGTATCAAATAGTTGTCTTTGGTCATGAGGTCAACAATGATGATACATGAGGTCAACAATGATGACAAATACTTATCAACTTGGACGACTAGGTGATGAATATGACATGTTCATGACATTGGTCATGTCTGGACCACCTACACCTGGTTCCAATGAACTTCATCCTCTCCCTCTACAACATAAAGCTTCTTCAAGAAAAATCACTCAAAAATTCAATGAGGATGTTAATGAAGTCATAAATGTCAATTCTTTCAACTCCGGCTTAGCTACTATAGGCCATGGAAGCCGAAGAAGTCGAAGAAGCAATTGTGGTCGTGGGTGCAGACCATTAAGTGTATTAGACTAGCATTTATGGAAATGAAACGTATGCTGGTTTTAACAATCAGCAACAAGGACATAATGCGTTGGAAATTCTACGAGTACCTCCTCAGCCTGCCAGTGCCAACTAGCTTGTTACATGTTAGTATTATAGTAAAAGGAATCCCTGTGCCTCTTAGTGTTTTCATAGATAGGATGGGCAATTTCAAAACTAGGTTCTAATGTGTGGGGTCCTTCTCTTGTGGAATTTAATCTCATTCAAATATTGTGTGCTGTTCATTGTAGATTATCGTAGATTCACTTGGATCTTTTTCTTAAATCTAAAATTTGATGTTTTCGATGCCTTTGTTAAATTTTGATCCTTCACTGGGTGACATTTCTAATGCTTGATTACTTGATTATGAAGTGATGAAGGAGGAATATGATAAAATAAGAGACTTCCTTTTCAAGGATGGAATTAAGCAATAGCTTTCTTGAATTGATACATTGTAACAAAATGGTGTAGCATAAAGAAAGCATAGAGATATAAGAGAGGCTTGCCCAAGAACCTAAATTTGATTCTTCCTTGTGCACTATTGCTTAAAACATGATTTGAGCTCATTACATGATAAAACAACAACTAGTAGAAGTTGCTCATCTAAGGAATATCAAAGTAAGACACATGAGAAACTTGATAATAAATGAATAGTCTATCAGAGAAGAAATAAAAAGGGAGCAACCTATGAAACACATTCCAAGTATGGAAATTGTGAATCAAGAAGCAGAGGTCATTGAGCAAGAGGCTGACATATCCCTTAGCTCTCGAGAACAATCAAATCAAGTATGTTGTACCTCACAATGCATAGATGTTGGGATCAAAATCAACTCTGTAGCAATGTTAAAAAAAAAAAAGGATATGGGCGCCTAAGCGGTTTGGGTGCTTGGCTGCCAAGGTGGCCAGGCGCTCGCCTAGGCAGGTGCCCAGGGACAGGGTGCCCTCACCAAAATTAAAAAACCCCCCACCCCAAACATAAAAAATAGGGGAGTTCTTAGAGCTTGATTTATAGCCTTAGGGAGGTTTTAAGGCAATTTTAGAACCCCAAACTCCTCGTGATCATGAAATAGACGAAAGCATAATAGTACAACAATACAATACTACGATGAGTACAATCACATAACATATTTACAGATGAGACAATCATACAAGTCTCAAAGAGATTGTAACTTGTAAATTGTAAGACATGTAAATATGTAAATATATCATAAAAGAAAAAAAAAAGTAAAAGAAAAAGCACACGATTCATAACATGATATGTTGTAGCAAAATAAAATCAAAACCCTCTTTCAAATATGATAATACTTAAAAAAATATCAAAATCAAATCGATGTCGGTGCAAACCTTGTCTATTGTGTCTCCAAAAGTCCTCAAAATCAACTACTAGATGCTCCAACTCCACCCATGAACTATTGTCTTCATTTTTGGAAGAAATCAAAAAAATATAAAATTTATCAATCTTTCGATAATTCACAAAATAGGGGTTTTTGAGGGGTTTTTCTCACCTTAAAGGCCACAGATTGTATATTGAGGGTTTAGAATACCCCTTAAAACCCTATTCCCTCTTTTTTAGGGGGAAAAATTACGTATTTTACCCTCACTCGAGAGTTCTTTTCCGCCGCCCTCAAGTTGTCACGGGGTGGCCCCTAGGCGGCCGCCCAGACAATAGCACCTAGGCGGGCGCTCAGAAGCAAAACGCTTGATGCACCTGCCCAGATTTGCACCTAGGTGTTTTGAAAATTTTTCCGCCTAGGCGGTCAGGCGGTCGAATTTTCGAACATTGCTCTGTAGATCAGCTTGCATTCGACATCCAATAGAAAGGTGTGTAAGTTCTGGCCCTCTTTTTGTTGAACATCAAGTTCTCATGATAAAAATTATGGAAGAAGCATTAGCTTGGCTCATATGAAATAGCAGGGTGGAATGTGAGATGGATAGAGCCAATGAATGAGGAGATTCAAGCACTACATAAATGACGAACATGGGTGATGGTCCCAAGACCAAAGGACAACCTTTTGTGGTTTGTGTGCCGCACTCTCTTCTCGTTTGAAATCTTGAAAGTCTTTCCTGACTTTGCCTTTAGCTTACTCCACCATCTTAAATCCAACCATCTTGGATCCACTCTTCTCGTCAACCACTATCTTAAATCCAGCCATTTTTATCCTACCTGTAAAGAACTTATACCTGAACCTCCCTAACTACCGCCTTTGTACTT